TTTTAGTTCATAGTGTTTTTTTTGTTTTTTTTTGGATTTGCAACCCCAAATCAGACAAAGTTGGGACAGTATGTAAAATCTAAATTAAAACTGAAAACAGTGATGTGTAAATCCTGTGTCCTGTGTTACATTGAAAACAGTACAGCAGAAAATTATTTCTTGAAAACAATACAGCAGAAAATTATTTCATGTCATACCTCATCAATTTTATCTTTGTTAAAAATAAACACTCCAATTCTGATGCATGCAACACATTCCAGAAAAGCTGGGACAGTCAGATATTTACCATGGTGTGATGCTACTGTTCCTTTTCACTACACTTAAAGAAAGTTTAGGAACTGAGGACACCAAGTGATTAAGTGTGTCAGGTTTCATTTTGTCAGCCCAGCCCAGCACCCACACCCTTTTCCTCCACAGCCAGACCTTGGTAATGTGCACTATGAGGTTTTGCATTGTCTTGATGAAATATGCATGGGCGTCCCTGGAAAACATGTCGTCTTGAAGGCAGCATATGTTGCTCCATCATCTCTCTGTATGTTTCAGCATTAATGGAGCCATCTCAGAAGTGTAAGTGACCTTTGCCAAGGGCACTGACACAGCCCCAGACCATGACAGACCCTGGCTTTTGGACTTGTTGCTGGTAACAATCTGGGTGGTCCCTTTCATCTTTGCTCCAGAGCACACAGCTTCCATTCCTTCCAAAAAAGACCTGAAATACTGATTGGTCTGTGATGGTCCATCCCAGATGCCTGTGAGCTGAGAGCAATCTACTGGGATCTACAGGGGGGTAGTATCTTCAGGCTCTTTTGGGAGTGTCAGTCTAATTTCCTGGTTCTCTTTTTGTTTTTGCAGGTTGACATAACATTGTAAAAGCACATTGTATTTTTTCATCAGTAGTTCCCCTTCTGATTGAATATACACCTCATTTCAGCTTGCAGCCCATCTCATTTTTTATCAGTTGCCTTTTTTTAAGACGCGCACAAGCATTGAAAATCATGATTGGAGTATTTGCTGGAGCATTTTATATCATAGAACAAAACATGAAAGTCTGCTGGCCTTGTGTTAACCACAGACCTCATTTCAAGCATCTAACCAAAAACCCATTCAAAAAACCTATTGACTTCAGGGCAAGAGGCCTGAAAATTCAAAAATGATAACTCCATTTTGGGCTTTAAGACTCCCTACTACGATACTCTTTTCTTTCAGTCACCAACCAAAGCACATTACCTTATGTGAGGATTGGATCATAGAATGACTGGGAAACTGAAAGCTTTGCCTTCTGGTGCAGCTCCCTTTTCACCACAGCAGTCTGGTACAGTGCCCTTTACTACTGACACTAGGCCAGTTCACCACTTGGTCTATAATTGACATATTTGTGGTGGACACGGTAAAAAGTGTAATAAGGAAAACACAAGCATAAATTAGTAAATTATTAATTTGTTAGAAATCATGTACAGACTTTGTGATGCTTATGGCTACAAGTTTCACATCTTCTCCCCCAAACACATTTTTTTTCATATCAGCCCATATCATGCCATCATCTAATGATTTCCATTTAAAGGTACTTTCTGCAATTTAGTCTCTCCAATATAAAATAGTTTGCAGTACAACTGGGACGTGTAATACTGACTCTTTATCTAACCAGGCTTTATGGTTTAATCCCTCATTTCTAACAAGACATTTTTTACTTTTTATTTTTTGATACTCTGACCTGTTTAAATCTCCTACAGCATATGACCATGCATTTCTAAGTGATGAAATCACATGGCTTTTACACTCAGGCTTTCTACAGTCAGCATTTGTGTGTGAAATGGATTTCCTGGGCTCATGAGAGCCTGTTGTTTTTTTCACTGCATCGTCTGAAAGCAGTTTACCTGCCATTGCCGTTTCCCATTATACTAGACTATAATATCTATTCCATTATTTTCTCAGTGCTGTTTGTTCTTTTTGCAAGCAGGGTTGAGCTTCATCAGCCTAGTGTCACAATCAGCACTTTCCTCCAGCGATAATGCATTAGGACCACTGTACCGCAGTTGCTTCGTTGATTACCACAGTTTCTTATTCACAGGATGGAGCAGCCTGTTAAACCTGCTGCCTTCCCTGTTCCGCTTCCATTACCCTCAATCTTTCCTTTTCTTCTTGTCATGATGCGATAACTTCCTGCATTC